GAGTTATGTCGATCACTTTATGACCATCTCCAACGATTACTCAAATCTATCATCAAATTTAAATTTACTGAAAAATGACTCTTTTTTCTGCTCTAACAGTTTAATCAAATATATATCAAATTTAGGATTTCACTTTTCTTTCATCAAACTGAGGACTAATATGCCTTTCATCAAATCACTGTTCGTAACCATTTGATTTTCACCACTGAATGTCCCTTCAGATGTCCCCTGGATTACCATCTCAAAGAAAAAATTTGTAAAAAAATTACACTGGCCAGTTGACCCCCTGGTCGAACCCCTGGATAACCACCTCAAGGGAAAAATTTTACAATAGTCGTTCTACTGGCTAGATACTTTCCCAGTCAACTGGTGCTTTGATGAAACTTGAAAAACCTCCGTTGAAATACTTGATATCAAATAGAACTTGTACTCAAATTTAATAAAAAATTTGATATATTGTTTGAGATGTTATAAAAAAATGAATTATATCAAATTAAACTATTAACTTGAATTATTAAACAAATTTGATAATAAAAAAATATATATATTATTATCCAGTGATAATGTAATGTTTAAAAATCATTACGTAGTAATGAAAAAAATTATAATTATAATTAGAATTAGTTATATTTATCATTTTTATCATTTTTTATAATTTTTTTCTTTGAGATTCACGTTAAGTTATTTGTTAAAGAATAATGCTTGGGAGCACTAATTAGTGCTCCCACTAATTAGGTGGCAGTGGGTCCCGTCATTAATGATGTGATATTTTGGTCTTAGAGTTGTATTTTTTTTTTTTTTTAATACATTAATATTATTAGTAGTGATATTTTTAGTGGGATGAATCATTGTTGTTTGTTAAAATAAAAAATAAATTAAGTAATTAAAAACCCTGTGATTGCTGTTGGAGATGTCACCTCATCATGGAAACTGTACGTAATGGTGGGTCCCTGGACAGTAACATAACATACCATGCCAGATTAGATGTCACCACGTAAACAGTACGTGCAAACCGTACGTAATGGTGGTTCCTGGTCAGTGCATCCTTAATGATAATAAATGTCACCACGCAATCAGTGCATCCTCAATGATAATAAATGTCACCACGCAAACCGTACGTAATGGTGGGTCCTGATTTTATTATGATTAAAAATGATTTTGTTATGATTAATTAAATAATATTTTTTGTAAAAACAATAAAAAGAATTCTATATAGGTCGTATTTGATAAATCTTGATAAAATAATTTTTTAAATACTAATTTTATTAAAAATTGACATTTATATCAAAAATTATTTTATTTTGAAATTTAATATTTTTATAGTAGTGTTATACGTTGGATTTTTTAAGAAATTTTTTTTATATTTGTCCTTAATACATTAAACTTTTATTATGAGGAGTATTTTGATCAAATCCTCAAAGAATAGTTGGTTTTCTTGATTGAAATTAGTGGTGAGTATAGTCCGTATTGGTTTGGTTTAGAGTAAAAACAGGACTAATTTGTTACAATGGTGTTACATGCACCAATTAATAAACACGCTATACCAACTAGTGTTATGCCATTATTACTGACCCAACCTATTATACAAATTACAAACACTCAAAATTTTTAAAATTATGTCACATCATCTGTTAGTAAACTAGTTAGTATATTAATTAGTACATATATCATTTTTCAATCTGTTATCTATAGTATCATAAAAATTGGGATTAATTCGATCCATTTAAATAGTGTAATTAATTCGAACCAAACCATTTAAACACGATTCAATTCAATTTGGAATTACGGATTTACATAATCAATTAATAAAAAAAATTATATAATATTTTCATTTCATAATTTTTAAAAATATAAACATGCATATTATTTCACCATTAATTTAGACAAACATAATATCTCGACACTAGCAAAAGCAATCACCAAATTCTATATATATATATATAACCGATTCTAACATTAGATCATTACAACACTAAAATTAAAAAATAAAATAAAATAAAAAATAAAAAAACACAAAAATAATAACAAAATTCCATAACTGCAGCAGCTTCATGGCAATAAATTCCACACCAAATTCCGAAGGTGTATGGCATAAATATAGGAGGTATGATAGTATGTATCAGGGGTGTATAATATGAATATAGTCTAAGTTGCATATGGTTTGGATCGATTCCAATTCGAAACCATGAAGTATAATCTGGAACCGATCCGTGAAATACGGTCCCTCAATTTTTTAATCTAAAACCAAATCACTGATTCAAAAAATCAGTTTAAACCTACAGGATTAGACTAGACTGGACCAGTTTGCGAATTTTGCAGATTCCTTGTTCAATCCTAATTTGCATAAATGCAAGTAGGTGCGGATAAATCTCAGGATGGATTAGATTTGGGCTGGCTTTACGCTATAAGTTAGAAGATATATGTTATTTTAAGCCTGACTTGGATTGATAGCGAGTCTAACTTAACTATCTCAAGTCTAGTCCAAAATAAATTTCAAATCTCAAACTCGCCTACTTAATTATGAGCTATTAATTTTTTATATTTTTATTTGATCTTAAATAGATATTAAATTATTTAGATCATTTTATTTAAATGTTTAATTTAAGTCCTACAAAGAAGTATATATATGTTTTTTATTTTTACTTTAATATTTTTTTAACTTTATTTTATAACTAAAATAATATAAAATTATAATTAATATTTTATAAGTGGATGGGTCAGACTGGATTAAGGCCTCGTTTGGGAACAAATTATTTTATTACTCCCTCAATCCCAAAACATTAGTCCCTTATTTTATTTTTCATTATCCCAAAATATTAGTACCCTTTCAAAAATTAAGGAATAAAAAAATATGAACTTACTATTTTGCCTTTTTTTTTAAATTCATTAATAATACAAAAAGTATAATTAGTACAATTGATATTTTCCAAAAAAAAGTGCTATCAAAAGGTAATTTTGAAAAATTAGTATTTTTAAAATATAATAATTGTGCTATAAAAAAAAGTTAGATTTCTCATAAGGGACTATTATTTTGAGACGGAAGGAATATGACAACTTATAGTTACTTTTTGACTAAAATATATAGTTGACAAACGAGGCCTGAGTTAGAACTCTTTCATCCTATGAATGAAATGAAGCATTATTTCAAAATCACCAAATAATTTCATATGCTAAGACACCATAAGAAGACAAAAAATGTTATGGATCATAAAATTTTGCCTACCCAAGTGTGATATATGTTGCAGATTTAAAATTTGTGGAGTGAGGGTCTCATTTAGAATGATCTTAGTCTTTATATATAATTTTTAAGATAATTTTTTAAGTAATTTTTTTAAATTTGTAATATTGTTGTAATAAGAAAGAGGAAAGTATAGACCAGATAATTTTGTTGTGTTTCTCTTTTGCAAATCCTCTTCAATACACATTCCTAAGAAGTGTATCACATATACTTTGTTATGTATTATATATATGTATGTATATTATATTTTTACAATAAATGTTATGCAATTTTTTGATAAAATTATGACAAATTTATTGTTGAAATATGAACTAACATCTTTTGTACAAATGTTATACATTTTTGTGGTAAAATTTGAACTACGAAATGTGTAAGTTTACCACAAAAATACTATAAAAAAAATTACACAAATTATCCTAATTTTATTTAAAAATTACATAATATTTACCATTAATATACGTAATATGTATAAAAAATGTGTAACAAAACTACATATAATGCACACCCTACAAAGGGCTTTACTTTTCTTTTTCGTGTTTTTTTTTTTCATTTTTCATTTTTTTAAATAAAAAATAACGAAAAATTTAAAAACATTAAGGCCCTGTTTGTCAATGTTTATCTTTATAATTTTTTGTTTATATTTATAAAAAAATTGAAAACTGGAAATAAAAATTCGTTTAGTATTTGAATTCGATTATAAAAACTTCTAAGCAGTTTATAGAATTTACTAAATATTTTTAAATAAAAAAAAAGTTAATTTCACTTGTTTAAAAAAAAAAGAAAAAAAAAACATTTTCCTTCTTTTCTCATTCCCTCTAGCTACCACCTACCGCTTATTATCACCATCATTGGCCATTCTTATTGGTACTTTGCTAGAGTGGGAAGACTAACTCTTATAAGTAATAATCTAACAATCAACAAGTGACTTTCGTCGATAAAAGAATTAAAATAAAATAAAAATAAAATTGGCTATTCTCATTGGTCACCTCCTCTAGCAACGACTTTTGTGGTCAACAACCATTTTTGTCCATTGTTACTGCCTATTTTCTTTTTAATATAAAATATACATAAATTTTAAATATTACCAAATGGCAACTTTTGATTTTATATAATTTTTATTTTTATCTGAATTTTTTTTAATTTATAAACTTTTTTTATGTTTCTTAAAAATTGAGGGCTTGTTTGGTTTGTGTTTCAAAAATAATTTTCTGAAATATTCTCTACAAACACATTTCTGGGAGTAATCAAACCAAACAGATGTTCCCAAAAAAATTCTCAGAAATATGTTTGGTTGTCTTTTTCCTGGATCACTTTTCAAAAAATAATTCTCAGAAATCCGTTTGGTTGGTTTTTTCAGAAACAAAAATACAAACACCCCCAATTAGAAAAAAAATAGTGTGTAAACATGTTTTTTTTTTTTTTTTTTTTTTTTTTTTTTTGAGAATCAAGCAAAACAGCACAACATATTATGCATGAGGTAGAAGTTTTACAGATTTTGCCAATTGGTGTGTAAACAGTTTTACAGATTTTACACATTTTGGCAGTTGGTGTGTAAAAAAATAGTGTGTAAGGAATTGGTGTGTAAAAAAATAGTGTAAAGAGTTTTACAGTTTCACAGATTTTGCCAATTGGTATTCTTTCATCATAGAATAATAAGAATTAAGTTCAAAATCAAAAGATGATTTTTGTTTCAAAAATCACCACACAAACAGATGTTAAGGAATTGGCAACAGGCAACCGAGAATAAACAAGCAAATGCCATTTTATATACAATACATGTTCTTGCAAACTCCGTTAACTCTGTACAAAATGAAGTCTACCAGATTTGTCGAATAGTATGAACATGGAAGTTCATTAAAGGAACAGATACATAAAGATTTAATACTGGAGACTTGCACTTGTTTTAAAACCTTCTACAACAATACTCATTTGGTCAACTAGTGCAAACTAGATCACAGCAGCTCATTCTCAGTTCACAACTGACTAGACAGCACCTCAACTACAACATAGCAGAACAACTTACTGCCAGAAATCTCCAGCCTCAGACCAGGCAGTAACCTGTAGGCCAAACAGCTTCATCCACATATCACACCAGCATACATATTACCAAACAGAGCACCACAACTGCAGACCAGATTCCATCAAACATATCCCAACAAAACATAGATCAGGAAACATATCCCAACACAGATTCCAGCAGTAACATAGCAACTTACCCCCACTAGGCCATACAGCTCCACCATCTATAGAACACAGCAGCCATCCACCCAGACCAGAAGCAACAGCAGCATAGTGATGCACAAACCTTCTCAGACCAGATTCTTGCAGATTATCTACCAAGACCATGGCATAAATTATTGTTGTTCTACTTGTCACAAAGATCATCCTGAAGGAAGTCTCCAACCTGAAGGAAGCCTCCAATAGTAAACAGCCACAGCAATCAGTCCATGACCAGAAAAAGCCCAACAGCACATTAGAGTACACATCTGCCCTCAGCAGCACATTTTTCCTGCAGCTTGCACTCCACTCAGCACCAAAAACTGAGCAAAACCAAGCTAAACCAGCACAAGAGTTGAGATAGCAGACCTGCAAAACAAGCCACAAATTTCTCAGGACAGACCAGCAAAACTACATATTAGATGCAGAGCTACCACAATAGCAAACACACTTCAGGACTTTAAGACACAGATGCAAAGCTCACTAATTTGCTAGCAAGATAGCAACACAGAGTTCAACACATGGATACAGAACATCACCCAGATACAGAAAACACAGATTCAGAACATCACCCAAAATTGACCCAATCCAAACATCACAGAAAGAGAAAAAAACCAAACAACCAGAGCACACCAGCAGTCAAAAAGTCAGCCGCAGCACACAAAGAGAACCATAATTGACATCCAATGGGATATCCACTTAAAATAGCCAACATGCATATCAATTACTTTGTTAAGAAAGGAGGTATCAACAGTGAATTTGATTGCATCAACCACAACACGCGTCCTCAGATAATATATCCCTATCTTCAAACCCTTGCATGTCCAGTAATTGAATAATAAGTATTTAAATAAGTACAGAGAAACTAATATGTATGCATACACTACTCTTAATATTAACGTTAATAACAATTAGATCAATTTTCAAATTTTAGTCCAATTACCTTAGACCAAGCATAGAAATGCAAGGAAGAGAGCTTCCCAGGATCAGGTTGATCCATGTGGATATTTTTAAGCTCTGACTCTGATCTACGTAGCACCCACGGTCAATCGCCATGTCTACCAATGTTTTTTGTTTGATCTCCCACACAGTCCTGATAATTTACGATATACTAAACAAGATGCTACAAACATTTAAGACAAGTAAATCATCCATACTTGTAAATAGCTTTCAGTTCCACCTGTCAGATGGCATCACAACCCACATATCCACTTGAAGAATCATAGTGAGGAAACAACTGAAGTAGATAAAGCCATAAAGAAAGATAAAATTAAACAATACATAACCTGAATTTGTGTACCTGCTGATACATGAACCATACATGAAAAAAACGGAAAACCACAAGAACCCCATGATTTTTTTAAAAAAAAGATCATAATAGTAAAACAACTAGCCCATGGTTTTAAAATAAAAAGTACCCCATGGTTCCAAAAAACCATACATGCCCAAACGAACATTAAAAAACATGCAATTATAGTACTGATACATGAATCATACATGCACAAGAAACGAATTTAAATAACCGTACATCAATACTTCTGACATAATTCAACTACCACAAGTTGTTTGAAAATAATAAAAAACAAAATAGTACAACATAATTACTACCAATGGTTGAGCTACCATAACAAAACAACAAGTTCAAGCATTATTTCTACCACAGTTTGGAATATCCCACGTAAGTACAATGACAAACAAAAGTACCAACAAAATGATCATAATAGTAAAACAAAGAAAAGCATTTTGAGTTGTATGCACTTTTCTACCTCGATATGGCATTTGGTCACCTTCTGGTGCCACAACAACAATATGTGTGCCATCTATGGCCTCTACACAGTCCTAGATGACATAACTTTGAATTAATTTATCAATTTTTGGGTTAAGCCATATAAAATAATGCAAATGAACTGCCATTTTTGTTACCTTAAACCATGGCCAGTAGCGTCTGTCATTCCGAATTTTAGGATTGGTAACAGCCATGTTCGGTGGTTGGATTACAAATGGCGCAAGATTTCCCAACGCCCGCATCATAAGTATGAAATGACGATGAATTGTCTCATTTGAGTGCTGAAATCGATCTCCAGTATTTCTTGTGCCTAAACTTTGACCATAGATAAATAAAAGCATAGCCAACGACTCTTCCAGTGACAATCGCATGTTCGATCAGTCTACAACATTTCTATGGACAATTTGTTTAACCAATTCCACAAATGTCGGGACTTCCATTCGCAATTGCTCACGGATTGATTTAGGATTTCCACTTAGTAAGAATTTTATATACTGGTCACCGATGTATGGACAATTACGTTGCGGTTGTCTCGTAGGAATGTCACGTGTTAGTTGACAAACCATGTGTAAGTCCATCATATCAACGTCATCGTCACTGTACAGGTCGTACATATTGTTCGGTTGCCCTTCATTGGGTCGTGACGACGACATCTAAAGCGAAAAGTGTAAAACAATCAAGGTATTATCAGTAATGATATGAGTATAGCACTAAAAATTTAATGAGGACATTGCAACAAAGAAAGCATGGCGAAAATAAATTACAACAACATAGTGCTAAGTCTAAAGCGAAACACATAGACACCATGATATATCAAGTTAGCTCAACACTCAACATAGTCCAAACTGAAAGGGAAAAAAAATTAAAACAAAAAAAAAAATATTTAGAACTTCAAGTTTAACAAATGTCAAAAAAAAAAAAATACACCTAAACAATTCTGCGAGCATCTTCATTTCCTTCACCTCAAACCGAACAATGGGATGACCAAGCTTCTCACAAACTAAGGATCCAAAGGTACCTCATTTCCGGTTCCATGGTCATAAACATGGTTCGCCATTCTAGTGATGTGAACATGTTCATGGCCTTCAAAAACAAGCTTGGATCCAGGGTCATTGATTTTAGGATGGCCATACATGTTGCAACGGAGTACGCATCATTTGCCCCAGCGTTGGCCTCTGCTCGAAGGTAAAACCGTTCACATGCGTCACATGAACGTTGCCATGATTGCAGTGCATCATCCATTTTTGGGTTCTTGCTGGATTGACCCTGGCCACTAGACTTACGCTTACTTTCGGAAGTTCAAGATTCATCTACTACGCCTTTTCTTGACGTACATGCATGAAAGCGTTCATCCATTTCTCGCTCGTCATCAGATGTGGGTGCACCCTGACGAGAAGAACGGGCAAAAGCGCCTGTGGCAAATGACTTGGCAAATATTTCTGACATGAGCTTATAATGTTCAAGGCCTTTGGTTTGGAATTGTTTTCCATTTGGGTGTGCCTACAAGTTGTAAACATTAATTAGTCATTTAAAAAAATATTTCTCTATACACATGGTTCTGGTAAATGTATGCGCCAAAATAATTACCTGAACATAATTTTCCCAAACATCGTCTAGGGTTGTCACTGTTTGAGTTATTAGATCCTAGCCCAAACCCGTGTGGTTTTTCAGAGCAACAAACTCTTTGTAGTTTGCCTTCAAACGTGCGAACTTACCCTTCAATTTTTTTAGCCCAAAATTTTTTCCAACCTTTTTAGTCATCTCCTCATCAATTGTTTGCCACTGCTTTGGGTAAAAACCCCTATCTTTCTTTGAATGGAAGGACCCTCTTTCTTAATTTCGTCCACCAATATTTCTAAAAATATCTTCACAATTTTGAACCCCCACACCTTAAAGTCGTCATTATCGTTAGCCATTCTAGCCTAATACAAGTGCAACAAATGACCGTTTATAATTATGTGAACAATTTAAGTTCCAAAAATAGTTTGGCAGTAAGTGAAATTAAGCATATGCATAATAATAACCATTATGAATATTTAATATGAGATTTCGCATGCAAAAGTTTACCGCATAAGGACAATCGTTTTCAGCAGTGGAGGAATTGATTGATGGTTGAGGTGATCTCTTCCTCTTGGCCCTTGGTGTATTGAACAATGACCGAGGGTTTAAAATCAAAATGAAAAATTCACATAAGAACAATTTATATGGCATACATGAGCAAAATTTTCGGGTAATAGTAGACCTTCAGAACTTAACAATACCACACAAAAAAAGAAAATAGGAAAAATAGTAGAAAAGTGACTCTTGAGTAGAATGAGCAGAATTTATATGGCATACATGAGCAGAGCTTTCGTATTCTTGCTTTTTCTAAATGAAAGTAATTTTCAAAGTTTCAAAGACAGTATGGGAAATTAATCAAAATAATAATAATAATAATAATAATAATTAATAAAAAAATAAAAAATAAAGGAATAAAAAAGAGGAAATATACTTCATTATAGTTAACAACTTAACAAATCCAATACATTGAAATGAAAGAAAAAAAAAACCCACTAGTAATAAACTTATAAGAAAATGATGTGATAAATGATATATATATGTAAGCGCTGAAATGAGCTTGAAAACATTAAAGTTTAATGAAAGCAGATAACAGAGATGGGAAGTAAATCTTCATTAGGCATGTACAAGGATTCTGACAACTGAACTAATTAGTGATAAATTGACACCAAAGGCAGCACGACAGTTCTAACTTCTAAGTTACAACAATGATGCACCTGATCTTAGAAAAGAGTATATTTCTAGTCATTCATCATCTTATACAGTTCCATGTATGCCATAGGAAAAAAGAAAATAAGAAAAGTAGAAGATATTTAATGGAAATATCTTCTAAGACAGAGATGTTCTTAGCATGGTTTCATAACTCATATATCATATGAACTAAAAATGAAGACTTCAATGGATATAAAGGGAAGCTGTAATTGTTAGGGAAGTTTTTTAACTTTCTAATGCCAGAGGTGTGGTTTATACATATTAACCTTTTATCCCGTGAAGAATGTAGAATCATGTATTGACCTTCAAAGCTCTAACATTGGAGGTCTTTCTTTGTTTCTGAAGGTTTTGAACAAATTTCAATTCATAATTCATCATTTTGTGAACTGTATAGTTACTTTTCTATTTTACAAGAAATATACCCAGTGATTAAGATAGTATAGGGAATCAAAGCAGAAGTTATGTTTAAATTATTTGCCCAAATTGGTAAAGTCAATGCATTAATATTCACAGACAAAAAAAAAAGAAAAAAAGAAAATACTAATACCTATTCAATACCCAACTATACATTAAAAAATTACACAAGAAATAAACAAATCGGAGAAACCATTACAGAATAGCAAAGTGCATTACAAACCACACATCTCAAATTGTGTATGCAATTTTTGATTATGAGATAATTACAGCTACCTGTTGAACAAAGACAACAGATGCTGTATCATGAAGACAACAATATTTCTAATGGAGTGTAGATGCCTCATTAATCAAAATCAGAGAACAAATTGCCCATATTTTTAAACCTCGTAATTGAACAAAACATAAATATTTTTAAACCTCTATAAATTTGATTAAGTGACTCTGGTGTGTGACTCTATGGACTACGATTTCAAAAATTTACCGATTGGGAAATTCACCACAAATTGACAAACCCAAAGGCAAAAGCCATGCGAACTTTGTAAACCAAAATCAGTCAATACATTGTTCAAAACTCACAAACCCAAATGAAATTTAAAAAAAAAAAAGAAAAAAAAAGTATTCATTCATTAGAAATACCTCTTGCTTGCCTACTTTTGGTGGCCCTCAAATCCCACCGTCCACAACGAAGTTTTGAGCACGGCCCCTCCGTTTTTGTAACAAATGATAAAGTTATGCTTCGTCTTGGTGGGGTTCGAAGCTGGTTGGTTTGCATTTTATAGAGCCCAGAAGAAAAAAATGATGGACATTGATGTTACAAGTGCCGATTGTGTGAAGATTTAATTCAATTTGACTAAGACCAAAGCTAGGGCACGATTTGGGGAAATCTGTGAGGCAAAGAAATTGTGGCTGTTCAAAGAGGACCCGTACGAGCAGATGCCCCCTATTGCCTCAAGCCTGTGCGGCACAGAGATGAATGAGGTGATAGACAGTGTCGGCGCATCTAATGTGGAAGATTTCTCAAATCTTGAACAGCGTACTGATGGAGGGAAGGGAAGTGGGTCTCTTCGAAGGCACAGATCTTGGTGTACAGGTGTGAATCGTCTTCCTTCCAACAGTCGAGAGAGAGCCGTTGGACTGCCTCTGAAGGATTTTCTTTGTATCACAGAGATGAGGTCACAAAGGTTCATTTGAGAGAGAGAAGTTATGACAGAAGATGCGTCTTCAGAGAAGTTTTAAGAGAGAGAAGTATGTTGGGAACATTTCTCTGAGATGAGTCTTTAGAGAATATTTCAGAAATTTGTTTGCCAAACGCGTTTTGGTACTTTTTTC